ATCATTTTCCAACATAATTCCTCCAACGTTCATATACCTCTGCTCAAGACGATGGATTGTGCGGATCCTGCTGATGTAAAATGCTTATTGTTGGAGATGTAATCAGGAACTACGTCATCATCATTTGCAATAATGCACCAAGAACAGGGGGAAATCTGACGTAGGCGAGGAAGGTCAGCTGGTGTCAAGCCTAAGCAGGCGACGCGGCCATGGCGACAACAGACTTTTACCACGGTTCTAGTGGAGCAATAAGGTTTAGTGAGTTGTCCTCGGCCTTTGATATTCTCACGGCAGATACACATGATATCGATCATTGGTTGTGCTAGACCTCTACCACTTTGGTGTCATCCACGTGCACGTGACTGAGATACGAACTCACGGTCATCGGTTTCTGGCATGCCCAATGTAGATCCCGTTAATCTTGATAAAAAGAGAATGTTCCAAGGAATAACAACAAGGAAACGTAGACTCCAAATGCTGGAAAAGCAGGAATATTGCTCAACATTAAGAATCCCGTTAGTCGCCGACCAAACTGGGTTTGTGAGAACATTGATGTGGATTATTGAATATTCGGGACATTTTCTCAATGTCTACCATTTATAATGTCTACAGCGTGCACCGACGAAAGACCAGGGATGATCTATAGAGAACACTGATGGTGCGTCAGGTTTCCACCTGTCGACGTCATTGTTCGCTGGACATCCTGGAAGTCCGCTGACTAATATCAGTTGCAGGTTGGACGCAGTGGTCAAATGTATACCATACCAAAAAAAGAGGGGATATTTCATTTTGCGAGCATACCACTAGCCAATGCCAATGCATATGAGTAATAAAGTAATATATATCCATACAGATAAAACACTTCCAAAGGAATGGAATACATTGTCACATTTTCCCTTAATTTCTCTTCATCATCTGTTTCCTCCTTGGCTTCATCATTTGCATTTTATCAATCTTGTAAATCCAATATCCCCAACTTTTTTGGATGGTATATATTACGACGCAAACATGACAGCAGGCAAATAAGCGCGACAGATTCACATATGACTGAAATACTTGCGGCCATGACGTAACTAGTTCAAACATTCCACCTGTTTCGTTTTTGGTATATCACATTCCGTAATCATTCTACCAAAGCTGCTTTAGAAAAAGAATATCTTAACTGTTACAATCTACTGCCGGTCCTGGTGCTATGTACATTAAAGGTGTTTTGTATACTAATGTCTGTGGCCTTTACAAAGTTATCTGTTTGTTGGTAAACACGAAGCTATATTCCCGCGTCATGCAGGAGGGGTCTATGCAGATTGTCACACATGCAAGATTAGCTGGATAACACACGGTGTGTGGATGTGACATTGGAAGTCATTGTTCGTAATGAACCTAGATTGTAATTGGAACGAAAACAACCTCGACCCTGCTTTGATGTTACCTCGCAGTACCGTGGCGTACAGTATCCTCAGTACTGCTTAATACTGGTAACTTGCTGTGTCACGGTGATTGTGCCTTAAAATAAAACACTTGACCGGGGAGTACATGGTGACATGAGAGTGGCCGTCAAACTGCACCTACCTATGGTAGAATGACACAGAGTAATATTACATAGGTTTCTGTTGGAGATATAACTTAAACATATTGTCACCATTACTTTCCTTGATAGTTCTAGTGTTGTTCCGTGTTTGTACAATAATCTGATAGGTCACCCAACTTATGTCTTCATACCAGCTGATTATGGTAATATAAACACAAAGGCCGCCATGGAGCCAGGAGCATCGCATCAATGACCGTCGATTGGTTCTGTGATTATCGTGGTCAGTTAGACTAACATCTAGTCTCTGACATGAACATATTTCACAGAAAAATAAATAATCATCATAAAATATAATGAAAAGGAGCACTGGGACTTTCTTCATTTTCCTGAAACTTTGGAAATCTAGACTTGCCACATATTCTAGGCTGGCATGGTCTTTCTTGGATATATTAGTTTGAGGTGTCTGTTTGGCAGACTTGTGTTGAGTGAGTCAGTCTGGGTGTGGTTTCTGTGTCCACACAATATGTGTGTGGGGATGTGGGATGCACGCAGTATCACGTGACCATATAACTCTCACAACGAGCAGTTTCATGAACTTTAAATAACAGATTGAATGTGTTTGAAAAATGTTGAAAACGAATAACGTCTTCTTGCACTGTCAACACTTTATACGTCAACTTGGGTCTGTATACAACACATGTATTTGCTGAGGGGCTGGGTAACATTTTCAAAACTGCAGATACCATCGTGAACATATGACGACAACGCAGGGGTAATACTAGTCCCGATTTTCCAACGAACCAGATCCAATTGAACGTAGAAGGAGAATTTTAAGAATGTATCATTGAAAGCCCGTATATGTTTGTTGCATGGCACCCCACAGAAGTGCTTCTGTCATGGAATAACGACGTGTACGTCTACAAGATAGACAGGATTTGAACAGTCGCAGTAAAGTAGAGGAACACTTTATGGATAGACAGCTTCTTTGTTGCAGTGGATGCGACGTGTCGGTGTTGATCCTAACACCGTTATCAAACATGCGACGTTTCCGTGTAGATCCTAACACCGTTATCAAACATGCGACGTTTCCGTGTAGATCCTAACACCGTTATCAAACATGCGACGTTTCCGTGTAGATCCTAACACGGTTATTAAGCAAATCCACTGCAATATAGAGGTTGTCTATCCATAAACAGGGTCCCTCTTCGTCATACCAGCTTCTAAATGCCATTGAAGGAAAGTCGCAGTAAAGCACTGATTTAGGTGAAAAAACCCAACAAATTGTGAATTTCGATGCACTTATAACCGACGAAGAATGATACCGAAATGGTTTCCAGACACTCATGATATAGTGTTGTCGTTTTCTCAATCACAAGTAGGCTCTGTCTCAGAACATTTAACTGTCAATATTGTTTGTTTGAAGTAACAGATCTGAAACAATTATTTGCTTCATAAGTTCTTGACCTGGCCTCGGGGCGGTCCCAAGTTCACGTCTGTGTTTGGTTGTTTCTCTGGAATCACGGTGTCACCTTCAAACATGACTTTGAAGTAAGGTAACATGAAGAATTAATACAGGAATACTTGTTCCAGCACAGACTGATATGGCCATGACAATTCTTATTTGTTTTAGGTTTCGTTGAAATACTTGCGGCATATGTTACATCAAACCTTCTCTGGAAAAATACATAGTCGTGCGTGCATGCCTTTCAATGGAGATATTATCAACAAATTATCATTAAATGAACATGCTAACCCTTTCTGTTAAGCGCGTGTTGACATGACGAAATCCAAGCTGGTTTAAGCAGATAAGGCACCTCCACATAAATGACATAACTTGTCCGCTCACACATACCGCGTGATGAAACTTTCCGTACCTGTGGCCAGTGTTAAAGGTCCAGGCTTGTTGTTGGGGAATACCGACTGCGGCATTGACCTCGACCTCTGAAGACCCTGTGTGCCACTGCAAATCACTATGGTCAATTATCTGGTTGAACAGATAAGGTGTCTCAGTAATCAGTAATCAGTGAGACCTGAGGCCCGTGGTACTAAATGGAAAGATACATATGATTTAGTTGTAGTTATTAAAGGGGCGACAATGCGACCTTGACTACTTTCTCATGAATCGTGTACTTGTCAGTTTCTGTAATGCATCTGCGTGTTGTTATAATGGCAATCAGAGACATCACTAACACAAACATATATGTGGTTTGTACAGTATACATAAACTCTGGGTCAATAGAATGTATAATGAGTTTAAAAAACAATTGATTTCAAATATTATATACCATCAAAAGGTTTGCATTTGTGAATTTTTATTTTTAATGTTTAAAAGTTATAAAATCAAATATATTTTAAAGATCACACAGATGCATTCCTTGAATACTAACAAAGTGCTGACTAAGCGCCAGTTCAGATTGTCTTTGATAAGATATCCATTACCTTGGATATTTTCAGTTGAAAACTAAATATATGATAAAATATGTTGAGAGTTATAGTCTTGGTTTCGTTCGTTTTGCTCAGTTAAAAGTTGATGAAGAGCAAACCTCCGTATCTGCAGTGTGTGTGTGTGTGTGTGTGTGTGTGTGTGCGTGCGCGCGTACGTGTGTGTTACTGTCAATATTGTTGTTATGTGATTTGATGTATTAAAAGCACAAGCTATTGAACTGTTTACAGTTTAACAAGTATATAATAATGTAACTAACAATAGTAAGAGCAACTAAACCCCATGTCCGTTGTTATAACCCCCCACCCCTTCATCTTGAGTGTGGCTCATGATGCACAGTGACATGAAAATGATAACATTTGTTTGTGAAAAGGTGAGCGTTTTCTTCCAACGGTGGCATCGATCACAAACATACAAAACTACTTCATTCGAAAAAAGCGCAGGAATATATGGTACAAGATAACATTGAGTATTTCATTGGATATCATTTGAATTGTCCTCCTTGTGTCAAACATAATCTGTTTGGGAACATTTGGTCATTTTTCAAATATTTTCACCCTGATCTGCAACTTTTCAGCTAGAGTTGTATGCCACTCTTTAAAATTATCGATGGAATGTTTTCTGTGAAAGCAAGGGGCATAAAGGGAAAACAAACAAACAAACATACGACATCAACCAATAATGAACAGTTTCCCTTTAATCCGCGAATCTCCCATGTAGACAGTCCAGGTGAGTGTCCCAGTCCCTTCCTATAATGCTGCCAAATATGGGCGATATGAGCGGGGTATGGAATATTTGTTCTCAATACGGCAACACTATGGAATTTTCCTCGTTTAAAATAGACACTTGGACAGCTGAAGGGTCACTGTCTCTGAGAGCCATGTGTTGTTCCAGTTTATCGTCACCAGATAAGACCACGTGATAAAGACCAGAGCCTTCTGTGTCGGTGAATGTGATAGGCTGCTGTTGACCTCGACTATGGAGGTCACTAGTATAAAGCCAGTCGGAACCTTCGTTTCATCACTCTCTCGGGTCGACGCCTTACGGTAACCAGCTACGTCCACAGGTATGACAGCTCGTGTGTTTCAATGTGACGTTGTTCACTGTTTACTGTACTGGTTTAACTGTCTATTACAGTCTGTCTGTTTGGACATTGCTTCTGTTTTGTGAATGCTCTCATCCATACTGTCTTACTTATCGAAGCTGGTGGATAGCGGAACATGCAACATAATTTCATGAAAAACAACTTTGATTGATTGTGATGCGACGTTTCGGAAAGAGACATGCATAACAGAATAGATGAGTTGTCATTCATGAAGGGATGTTACACTTACTGTTCACAGTGCTATTACGTTTAATTAATGCATGTTGCATATCTGCATGTTGTTGAATGTTGCGAGGGAGGGAGGGAGCGAGGGCGGGAGGGAGCGAGGGAGGGAGCGCAACTACCTTAGCTTGTTGAGGCCAACTGAGCATCTCAACGTTTACAAAGCAAATATTCTAAAACTATAAATGGCCAATCTTGTCTAATCACAAGTTGTTTCTCGAATTATCTGCATTCCCTTGCCGTTATATCTTATTCTAAGCAGCATAATATATCTTTTATTTTAGTTTGTGCAGCACCCCTCCCCAACCCTACCACTTCACCCCCTACCCCCCATAATCCAAACGGTAATCTAACCCCCACCGTCGCCACACCTTCAACATTATGTGCGCTGTGGTGTCACTGGTGGTGTTGGTATCAGCGCCACGTTAAGTCCATGTAGATGTGAGCATGTAGAGGGACTTCACTCCCGAGTCACGTCAAGGTATTCAGGACGGCTGGCAATTTTCTGTATATAAATTATTCACATGCATTATTTCACTCATGTGCGGGAGTCACACGTCAGTTGTCAGCACCAATACGTTTCAATGTTTGTTTCCAGGACAACGATTAATGACAACGCCTACAACACGTTGAAAGGATTCTCTATTTCATCTGTCAAGGTAGGCTTGCATGAGTGGCTGAGTGAGTGAGTGAGTCTGGGTTTACGCCTCTTAAGCAATATTTCAGTTCACTGAAGGCGTGTCATTTAGACCCGGGAAGTAAACCCGAAGTAAGACATGCGACTGGTTTACACGACCACTGTGAAGTCCTTCATGGAAAACCCCCGCCACACAGAAAATCAGGCCAACCCACGCTGGTTGGACACCACAGGGAAATTCCGCGTGCAACCTCAGCGGTCGGCTCAGCTGGACATAAATTCCCGGACATAAATCGGGGCAATCGTAGATATTTTGAGCAACAAAGCAAAAGTAGGAATAAAATTTCATTTGAGACCGTATACATTACGTGTAACCCATGATGCAAAGTTAATATCCCTTTTGGTAGTGTGACGCGATGTTTCAGAACCTGAATCTGATCCATGACAAATTGCATTGTTCTTTAAGCCATACCGAGAAATATTTATCGTTATTAGGGAAACATTATCGATTCTGGATCAGCCAAACATGTGGTTGACAGGATGACCATCGCCCTCGGGTTGACACGCAATGAAACAACAATTATACATTAACACAGCTTTCGATCATCGTGGTGCCGAGATTGCCTTGTACATATAGACATATCTGATTAAAACATCATGGACGAAAGCCGTTGCTTAATCGATTCCGGCTGTATAAGCATGTGTGTGCGTTATTGTTAAAGAAACTTAACAAGCAGTTTATATTTGTTTCCAGTTTGCAAGCCAAAGCTCCAGAATGTCTCTCGTAACACTTCAAGACAAGGAGGGTCACGGTATGAAGGTGCTGTCCTCCAACGGGCACCTGTTCCACTCCGTCGCTCTACCTATCTCGTATGACGAGCACCTGGAGAACATCAGTGACCTCGAGGTCAGGCATGACGACGTCCTGTTCTGTGCTTACCCCAAATCAGGTAAATACAACTCTCGGTATTCCGATACTTCATCACCGTCTGTGATACGGCACCCTTCAAAACGGGTCCCTCGTTAATTCAACACATTATCTACACCAACCGGTCGTTCTCTAATCAGACATGCAGGCCTTTCTGTAATCTGGTATTCTCTCCTATAATCGATCACCCTGTACGCCACTATGTACCGGTGTTTTCATAGTAGATACGGTTTTCCTCTTCCTCTCAGTAGTCTGGACACTGCCTTTGCCAGACACTTTGAAATCCAGCACATTCTGAAAAACCGGAAGCTCTAGACATCACCGAACCGGGTGTGTCTTAAGACTAAATAACAACATTTCACTCTAATCATGTTTTCCATGATTTGCTCAAAGAACTCACTGATATCAATGCTACATTCTCTATATTCGCTGTACATCGTGGTGACATGCAAACATCAATGGGCAATAACATGCCAGCAGTCCCCACCATGGTACTTGTAACATTCCTCCCTGGTAAAACAGATACCAGCTAAATATAGGCCAGTATAGGTAGGCCAACACATTGTCAGTAGCTCAGCTGGAGGAACACCTTGTACCCCATGACTGTAGGTGGTCCACTGTTCATCAACTCTTATCTAGAACATCGGTACTGGCATTTTGAAGTTTACATGACGTAATCCTTCTATTCGTAGAAATGTTCTAACACATATCAAGAGTAAGAATATAACACCTGTACCATAAATGTACTCACGACAAGGGTCAATTCACCCGTGTAAGGGTTAGAACCCAGTTATCTGTGCTGCAATCCAGTGATTTAACCACAGGGCTACCCCAGCCTTAGTGATTGCAGTAATAGGCTCCGTTTGGTAATCACATCGACATTATTGTTTTGTTTTTTTTGTGAACACACACTGATGTTTGAATGAGTTTCTACACCATTAACCGAATAATGAGCGAGTATTGTTTTACGCCGCATGTAACTATATTCCATCAATATCAGAGCGGGTGATGCGAGGAATTCCTTTTGCACAGACCATTCATTTGGGGAGTCGAACTCAGACATTTGGTGTGGTATGCGTTAACCATTTCACCATTGTGTCTGTTGTATTTGGGTGAACTGTGTACAATGCAGATGGATTTATTCATCATGGAGATCTTCAAAGCGTATTGCTTCTGTTTCTTTCAGTGGTACACAGTTAAGCACACGTGTTAAGCACACGTGCCCAAAGCATGCTTTCAAACGGAAATGACCCCGTGTTTGAAAACATGAGTTGCACGAGAAGCAGATTAGTCCGACGTTTAATGTCAAATCGTGTGATTAGTTAGTTGAGCTTGTGTGAGCAGAGCGAGTGTGTGGAGCAGCAAGAGAGTTGTCTCCCCCCAGGACGCCAGGATGGTCAGGTTTGGAATTGTGACTTTCCCGTCTCGCATTTCCGCATTATTGTACCTGTATGATTTATATACTACTCAAGCTTTGATAGGGATTGTCAATAGCTCCCTGGCCACATACATTAAAATGTTTCATTGATATGTAAGTTCGGAACATTCCTATCAAAATTTGAGCAGTATATCATGACGTTACCTGAACGACGTTCGTCCCTGTGTGATTCTGTTAGTAATCCTGCCCGTTGTGGATTCAAACTGACATTGTATTCTAAATACAAAATTTCTATACATGCAAAAGTAGGGGATACTCTGAAATAACAATGACATAAATACAATTTCCAAAGATGTAAGAAATGTTAAACTAAAGTTGTATGATGAAGGGACTGCAAACAGAATCACATCTACGGATGTTTGTTCTCGCCACGTCATGGATGTATTTCCTGGAATGTGTTGCACTGTCGCATTGCCAATGTATAGGTCTCGCATTGCCAATGTCGCATTGTCGCATTGTCGCATTAAAGCCCGTGGGTGTGTCACGTGGTCTGACGGTGCTGCTCTACCCGCAGGTACTCACTGGTTGTGGGAGGTCACGAACATGGTGATGAACGGACGCGCCGAGTACAGCAAGGACAGGAACGACGTCGGAATGTTGGACTTCATCCACCGTGACAACATCGACAACCTCACTTCTCCACGTATTCTGAACACCCACTTCCGGCCCTGCCATCTACCACAGCAGGTAGTTCACAAGAAGCCCAAGGTGATCCTCGTTGTCCGCCACCCCAAGGACATCGCCGTCTCCTACTACAACATGGTGACGGGGAAGAAGGACGCTGCCAACAACACCGTGGACAAACTCAAGCCCCAGGACACCTACGAGGGCAAGTGGAAGCACTTCCTCGACATGTTCCTCGACGGCAAAGGTGAAAATCAAACCTCTCTCTTCAGCCCTGTTTGAAACTATTCCATCTCCTTCCTCTTCTCATTTTATTCATCTCCTCGTTGAATTTCCACTAATGTCGTCCTCTCCATCCGTCTCTCTCTCCATCCGTGATTATCCCCTCCAAACCGACCAGACAGGAGTTGACCCCGCCTATGTACTGTTACAGTTCCCTACGGCTCCTGGTTTGACTACATCGAGTCCTGGGATACGATCATGAGGGAAAACCCAGACCTGCCCGTGCACGTTGTCAAGTTTGAGGATATGAAGAAGGTAAGTGTGACTCTTATCTGACACAATGAAATACATGAAGTGCAAAAGAGTAGACACAAAAAACCCTTACCTTTCTAACTCAAAATGTGACTTGAATAAAACAATATATGATCGTTTATATAGTAATTCATGATGTCGTCGCATTAAGGCCTTTAACGCCACTTAATCACATGACGTCAGGAAGTGGATACGTTTCGCCGATAAACAAGGGTCAATACAAATTTAATACACCCTATAACCTATACCTACAAGGGCCATAACATCCACGAGACTATAATTCGATGATGATATAGGTTCTGGGTTGGTGCTGACCATCGCTCTCAGCTCCGTGCCATCTCAGTACAGTATGTTAGTTGCCCCAGGTATAAGGCACATGCAAACCACGTTTCGTTATGTTTTTATCATTGTAAAACAACGCCTTGGTCATCTTCAAGATGTAATTATGAAAGTTTATATTCATGAATAATAGTCTACATACAAGTAGCAGAATGACTGTTGTGATGACTTCAATGTCTGTTGTTTACAGGACCCCGTTGAGCAGGTGAAGAAACTGGCCACCTTCCTCGGGTCGGACATTGGTCACCAGACATGTGAGGAGATCGCGGACGCCTGCAGCTTCCACAAGCTGAAGAAGGCCTGTCACGGGACCAAGGACATGTTGTGCGCCATCAGCTGGAAGGCCGGCGGAGGACTCTTCAGGAAAGGTGAGCTACAGAGCCCGACGCATTGCCACTACTCCACAGGTTTATCCCAGTTGCCTAGGTTAATGCTCATACTGTTGATCACTGGATTGTCTGGTCCAGGCTCGATTATTTACAGGCTGCCGCCATATATCTGGAATAGTGCTAATCGCTGCGTTAAAAAAGAAACCAACTAGCCACAGGTTTTGTATGGACTACCCTCCTCAAAGGTCGTGAAAGCGACCAATTTGCATTATAGTAGTTTTTCTAATAAGCCAATCAACACTCAGTGAGGATCAAGCAATACCGAAACCAGCAAGTGCTCCGAGGAAAGAGCACGGCATTGTATCTCCTGCAACATGTGCCACGGCCTTGCCACGGCCATCTTGTACACATGTTGCCATAATTTCCGGATGCGTGTAGTTGACTTATTTGGGGTCTTCGGATTGTACGCGGCTCTTTGTAATGGGTTGAGTAAACTTGCATCGGCAATCGCCAACATAGTCGTCGTAATGTTTTGTGTCCCAGCAATGTTCCTTCAGGGTGACCTCGAAGTATAGCAGGCATGGGGTAGGCAAACCACAGACTGAAAGTATCAGGGACGATTGCCCAGAGTAATGATAAAGACCAAACCTAATGAAATTGATAATACGTTTCTTTCTTGCACTGACATAAACACATTTGATGTTTCAGGGAGAGCTGGCGAATGGAAGAACTGGTTCGACGAAACGCAGAATGACCAGTTTGACAGAGTATATAACAAGAAACTATCTCAACTATCCTATCTCAACAGATACCAGATGTAATCTCTTCTTATCACCTTCTTCATCGTCATTACGGAAACGCGCAATCGTGACCACTCGTGTCATTCCGGACAAGCCAAAAGGTTACGGAAATTGGCGTTTGATGACGGACAAATGAGAAACGACTGAAGATTTACCACTAAGATCTACTGACAATCGATCATTGATACTGAAATCAGCATCATAATCCACTGGGAAAAGTGTGAATATTCAGTTATATCTGATTCCAAATTTGGTGATATTTTCAATACTCATTGACCTCTGAGGCTTCATGTCTGTTTTGTGTATGCTGCAGACGGTCATTCTTGGCACCCATCGTGATTATACTGTGTTCTTACCAGTTAGGGCTTCTTTGGTTTTAAATTTTCAAATTGTAACAGAAAAGAGAAAGCGTCTGTGCATGTTGACAATGCGCAGGTACCATGGCGGAAAATGCCCATGATCTTTGTTTTTAGTGTAAATATTTCCTTGTTGATCATTATTCTTTTATAATTTTGTTTTGTTTGTAAATAAAACATGTTTCTCTCTACTTCTGTCTTATGGTCAATGCTGCAGTGTTCTGTCACAGAAAACATACATATATCGATAGTTTTGTTTACTCTGCGTTCATGCCCTGCGCACACCAATACTATATTTTTTAAATGATAACAATACAGAGAAGGCGTAATGAGACGAGCTGAATAGGTGAACACAAACATCTCAATAAATGAGTTCGTGTTGAACCTCGCTTTGAGCATTATCTACGTAGTATCACGGTGTCAGGTTTTAACGGTTTAATGCTTTGGTGACATCCCCCAAAAAAAAAAATTAAAAAAAAATATAAACATGGATAAAACACATATAGGGCGATTCTGGGATTCAAACCCACGATCACAGGTTTCTGGGCTGCCGATGACACAAAGATGGGTTTTCAGTGTTAGAGGATCAATCAACTGATCGATAATATCAACTCTGTCGCGTGCGATTAATGCATTGGTGTTGTACAGTCGAAACACACCAGACAGAAACATGCCACCAGTGCCAACATCAGCATCAGATGCCAGTGTCACTGATAATGTTGATCACTGGAATTTCTGGTCCAGACGCGATCAAACACAGACCGCCACCATACAGCTGGAATACTGCTACGTATGTCCTCAAACCATGTAAAAGACAAACCATGTAAACAGGTTTCAATAGTCTGTTCAGTGAACAGTAGCTCTCAGAAGCTCGCACCCCAACCCCCCTACCCCCCCACCAGTAACCAAACATTTTGTTCCCTCAGTCGACTAAACTTTATCCTCGAATAGTTTAAACGTCCTGTGACAGAGAGCAGACCTAGACTCTTAAACAGAACAGAAAACGAGCCTCCTGTAGCGATGTTCGTGCATATCGGGAGAATGTTAGTCTACCCCTTTGTTATAAGTTGTATCTGGTCCTCAAATGCACGATACGTTTTGCACGCATCCTAAACGGACACACGTAGGAGTGACTGATTTTAAATTTCCTTTTAGTTGCCAAACATTTCGGTAACTTGCTCTATTGACATCGACACCCCACCGATCCTATCAGCTAGTCGCCATTTTGTTTGTTAATTAAGGGCCACTGATCCAGAGCGATTAATGTTTCTCGCCAACAGTCTAATTACGAAACAATGCTGCAGGCATTGTACTCAGGTTTTATGTTTAGATACACCACGGTATGATAGATGAACCATATTTACCTACCTACAGATAACTGTGTGTACATTTCACTCATCACAGAACTAGTGCTATGAAACAGGTGTAATTTGGATAGGTGGCTATAAACATTACATACCTCCATTTGTGATGCCTTTGTGTGTCATAATCCATGTGGGATGCCTTTGTGTGTTATAATCCATGGGTGATGCCTTTGTGTGTTATAATCTATGTGTGATGCCTTTGTGTGTTATCATCTATGTGTGATGTTTGTGTGTTATCATGTATGTGTGATGCCTTTATGTGTTATAATTCATGTGTGATGTCTTTACGTGTTATAATCCATGTGTGATGCCTTTATGTGTTATAATCCATGGGTGATGCCTTTATGTGTCATCATGTATGTGTGATGCCTTTCTGTGTTATAATCCATGTGTGATGCCTTTATGTGTTATAATCCATGTATGATGCCTTTATGTGTTATAATCCATATGTGATCCCTTTATGTGTTATAATCCATGTGTGCTGCCTTTATGTGTTATAATCCATGTGTGATGCCTTTATGTGTTATAATCCATGTGTGATGCCTTTATGTGTTATAATCCATGTGTGATGCCTTTATGTGTTATCATGTATGTGTGATGCCTTTATGTGTTATAATTCATGTGTGATCCCTTTATGTGTTATAATCGATGTGTGATGCCTTTGTGTGTTATAGTCCATGTGTGGTGCCTTTATGTGTTATATTGTCATCTGTGATGCCTTTATGTGTTACAATAAATGTGTGCTGCTTTTATGTGTTATAATCCATGTGTGGTGCCTTTTATGTGTTATAATCTATGTGTGATGCCTTTATGTGATATAATGTATGTGAGATGCCTTTATGTGTTATAATCCATGTGTGATGCCTCTTTGTGTTATAATCCATGTGTGATGCCTTTATGTGATATAATCCATATGTGATTACTTTATGGGTTATAATCCATGTGTGATGCCTTTGGGTGTTAAAATCCATGTGTGGTGCCTTTATGTGTAATAATCCATGTGTGATCCCTTTACTTGTTGTAATTCATGTGTGATACCTTTATGTGTTATAATCCATGTGTGATGCCTTTATGTGTTGTAATCAATGTGTGGTGCCTGCTTGTGTTATAATCCATGTGTGATGCCTTTGTGTGTTATAATCCATGTGTGATGCCTTTTTTGAGTTATAATCCATGTGTGATGCCTTTATGTGTTATAATGATGTGTGGTGCCCTTACGTGTTATAATCCATGTGTGATGCCTTTATGTGCTATAATGTATGTGTCCTGCCTCTATGTGCTATAATCCATATGTGATGCCTTTAAGTGTCATCATCTATGTGTGATGCCTTTGTGTGTCATAGTCCATGTGTGGTGCCTTTATGTGTTATATTCCATCTGTGATGCCTTTATGTGTTATAATCCATGTTTGATGCCTTTATGTGTTATAATCCATGTATGATGCCTTTGTGAGTTTTAATCCATGTGTGATGCCTGTATGTGCTATAATGTATGAGTGATGCCTTTAGGTGTGATAATCCATGTGTGATGCCTCTTATGTGTTATAATCCATGTGTGATGCATGTTTGTGTTATAATCGATGTGTGATGCCTTTATGTGATATAATGTATGTGTGATGCCTTTATGTGTTATAATCCATGTGTGATGCCTTTATGTGTTGTAATCCATGTGTGATGGCATTTTGTGTTATAATCAATGTGTGATGCCTTTGCGTGTTATAATCCATGTGTGATGCTTTTCTGTGTTATAATCCATGAGTGATGCCTTTATGTGTTATAATCCATGTGTGATGCCTTTATGTGTTATAATCCATGGGTGATGCCTTTGGGTGTTGTAATCCATGTGTGGTACCTTTATGTATTATAATCCATGTGTGATGCGTTTCTGAGTTATAATGTATGTTTGATACTTCTATGTGTTATAATCTATGTGTGTGATGCCTTTATGTGTTCTAATCCATGTGTGACGCCTTTTGTGTGTTATAATCCTTCTGTGATGATAGCATGTGTTATAATCCATGTGCGATGCCTTTATGTGTTATAATCCATGTGTGATGCCTTTATGTGTTGTAATCCATGTGTGATGCCATTTTATGATATAATCTGTGTGATGCCTTTGTGTGTTATAATCCATGTGGTGCCTTTATGTGTTATATTCCATCTGTGATGCCTTTATGTGTTATAATCCATGTGTGATGCCTTTATGTGTTATAATCCATGTGTGATGCCTTTATGTGTTATAATCCATGTGTGATGCCTTTATGTGTTATAATCCATGTGTTATATGCCTTTATGTGTTATAATCCATGTGTGATGCCTTTATGTGTTATAATCCATGTGTGATGCCTTTATGTGTTATAATCCATGTGTGATGCCTTTATGTGTTATAATCCATGTGTGATGCCTTTATGTGTTATAATCCATGTGTGATGCCTTTATGTGTTATAATCCATGTGTGATGCCTGTTGGTGTTATAATCCATGTGTGGTGCCTTTATGTGTCATAATCCATGTGTGATGCCTTTATGTGTTATAATCCATGTGTGATGCCTTTATGTGTTATAATCCATGTGTGATGCCTTTATGTGATATAATCCATGTGTGATTACTTTATGTGTTATAATCCATGTGTGATGCCTTTATGTGTTATAATCCATGTGTGATGCCTTTACTTGTTGTAATTCATGTGTGATGAATTTATGTGTTATAATCCATCTGTGATGCCTTTATGTGTTGTAATCCTTGTATGATACTTTTATGTGTTATAATGAATGTGCGATGCCTTTATATGTTATAATCCATGTGTGATGCCTTTATGTGTTGTAATCCATGTGTGATGCCATTTTATGATATAATCTATGTGTGATGCCTTTGTGTGTTATAATCCATGTGTGGTCCCTTTATGTGTTATATTCCATCTGTGATGCCTTTCTGTGTTATAATCCATGTGTGATGCCTTTATGTGTTATAATCCATGTGTGATGCCTTTATGTGCTATAATATATGAGTGATGCCTTTATGTGTTATAATCAATGTGTGGTGCCTTTTATGTGTTATAATCCATGTGTGATGCCTTTATGTGATATAATGTATGTGAGATGCCTTTATGTGTTATAATCCATGTGTGATGCCTATATGTGTTGTAATCCATGTATGATGACATTTTGTGTTATAATCCATGTGTGATGCCTTTGTGTGTTATAATCCATGTGTGGTGCCTGTTGGTGTTACAATCCAAGTGTGGTGCCTGTTTGGGTCATAATCCATGTGTGATGCCTTTTTGTGTTATAATCCATGTGTGATGCCTTTTTGTGTTATAATCCATTTGTGATGCCTTTATGTGATATAATCCATGTGTGATTACTTTATGGGTTATAATCCATGTGTGATGCCTTTATGTTAAAATCCATGTTGATGCTTTTGTTTAAAATCCATGTGTGATGCCTTTATGTGTTATAATCCATGTGTGATGCCTTTATGTGTTATAATCCATGTGTGATGCCTTTATGTGTTATAATCCATGTGTGATGCCTTTTGTGTGTTATAATCCATGTGTGATGCCTTTTTGTGTTATAATCCATGTGTGATGCCTTTGTGTGTTATAATCCATGTGTGGTGCCTTTGGTGTGTTATAATCCATGTGGTGCCTTTTATGTGTTATAATCCATGTGTGATGCCTTTGTGTGTTATAATCCATGTGTGATGCCTTTATGTGTTATAATCCATGTGTGATGCCTTTATGTGTTATAATTCATGTGTGATGCCTTTTTGTGTTATAATCCATGTGTGATGCCTTTGTGTGTTATAATCCATGTGTGATGCCTTTATG